CTGTGAACCTTACAATCTGATTATAAATTGGAAAAAGCAGTAAAGAGCTCTTGTACAACTCACTGTTTCTTTACTTTAATTCTTCCATATGTAAAAACATCATATGCTATCATTTTGACCTGGCAGCTAATTTTATGCATTTTCAGTAGCCAATTTTCACAGATGTCTTCATATTTATGAAACAAACTTTGGAGAAGTATTATTTATCTAGAACTTTTAATTTTTGAAATATTTATAGATTCTTGCCTTAGCATTCTGCAAGGTAGCCCAGCATTTTATCAGATGATGAAATTGAGAGAAACAGCAATTTGTAAAAAAAACACATTTACTGAATCCAAGAATGACAATATGAACAGAAAGCTCTGCAATCCATGTCACTGAGTGGCACTGACCAGTCTACTTTAACATTAGTTCTAAAAATATTTTACATATTTAGTTTTGAATTAGTTCAGTACAGGTTTCCAAAATAATTCCAGTTATAATCTCAAGTGTCATTCTCAAGAAAAAAAAGAAATTTCATCACAGATGGCAGCTACAAAAAATACCGTATAGAAGAATAAATTAAATTTAAACAGAGAAGAGGCACACATGAGAGGAATTGCTGTTGCTAAGTAACAACTAACCCTCTGTGACAGTATCTATCACTAATCCCAAGTTGCGAAGGACCCTGGAGCATATATAGACAAAAATTAAAGTACTCCAAGAAAGGCCATCTCTGGTGAAATGAAGTAGCTATCCACGCGCGCGCATATAGAGATGGCCAGGAATAGCCAAATGAGTCTGGAAAAACAGAACTGCTTGAATCATTCAGAGATGCTTAACTGGCACTCCTGCAGTTGTAAATCATCACTTTCAAAGGATTTGAACAGCCTTCACAATATTAAAGCCACAGTTCATACATCACAGTATACCCTAAGGTTGTTTTTTGTTTTTATTTATGTCTTATTTATTTTACAGAATTCACGTTCTACTTCAACCCAGAAATTCTGGGTAATGTACCCAAACTATAGCCTTCTTAGCCCATTTAGAAACACCTCATAAAATATAAAATTAAATCTAATGAGGGATTGTCATCCACAATCCCTCATTAGAGACTGAAGGCCTACTGAAATGAAACTATTTTCAGTATCTTCTGACACATCAAAAGAGAAGAGACCAAGTATACCACTGGGAGGAATATGATCCACAATATGGGGACTACTACAGAGAAGCCCTGTCTTCTGGCTTACACCTATCTTATCTGCTCTCAAGGTGGGACTTTGAGCAGGTTCTCTCTAGATGTCCATATAGGACAGGCAGGACTGTGTTAGTAAGTCACGTTAGTCCCTGTCTGATAAAACCTAGTAACACTTTTTAGGGCTTTCTAGGTAATAATAAGCATGCTGAACTGCACACAGAAGCCTACTGGTAGCCAGTGCAGTGACCCCCCAAAAACTAAAACTCTACAACAGCAGGTCTTCCCTGATAACAGTCTAGTTACTACATTCTGAATCAAATGCAGCTTCTGAGTCATTTTCAAAGCAGCCTCGTGTACAGCACATCGCAACAGTTTTGTTGCATGGTGATCAAGATGTGAGTTACCATTGCCAAGCCTCCCTTGCTATAGTTTCCATTGCTATTCCAGCAGGAGCTGTGAGTCAAGTCATAGACCTGCTTCTTTGGGGAGACTGTAACCCCATCTTAGAGCAACCACTGAGACTGATATTTCTGTCAAAGTGTTTACAAACTACCAACACTTCCATCTTGCTAGGGCTTAATCTGAACTTGTTTCTCCTCATTCAGTCCATTAGATCTCTGACCTGATCTGCAGCAGCAATATACAGTTAAACGTCATCAGTATATTAAGGATATTTTACTCCAAAGCAATGGATGACCAGTAATTTCATACAGACATTAATTAATGTGGGAGAGTCTCACACTGAAGCAACTGCTCTTCCCGCAATGACTACAGACTAGAATCACCTGCTTGAGTAAGTTTGGAATCACCAAAGAACAGTGCCCTCTGTCCTCAGCTCTTACAGATGGTCCAAAAGGATACCATGGTCCAGTTTTAAACATAACCAAGAGTTTAATAGGACCAGGAATGGGGCACTCACCCCCATCCAGGTCCCAATGAAGATCACCCACCATGCCTAGGCCTGAATCCTGACTGGAAGTCACTTAGACAATAGCTTATTCTAGGATATTCTGTAGCTAATCTATCTTCTCTAAAAAGGGACAGTTGGAGACAGGGCAGGAACCCAAATATGGTTGGGCTGAGGGATTGAAGGTGAGAGGGTACACAGTGGCCTCTTTTAAATCAAGTGACATCACACCTTCCCTCAAAAAAGCATTAACCACCTTTGACTGCACTGCTATTCACTATGCCTTAGCATGAAGTATGAACCAGGCCATTCTGGCTTAGTCACCATATCATGTTTAAAAACCTAGCTTAATATATTTTGAACCCAGCCATTCTGTGATAGCATAACAATTCAAGGAAGCACAAACAAGAAGCTAACTGCACATTGCTTATCTCTCTAACTGAAGAATCCAGCTTCACAGCAATTCAATTATATCACAGAAACATGTTTTTAATTGTTTTCCAGATATACAGAAACATGTATATTTTATGTACTCCTCTCAGATTTGGGGGAAAGGTTAAGACATATCATTCTATATATTTAGATACAAGGATAAATGCAACAGTCAATGTAATCATTTTCCACTAACTGCAACACAATAAATATTAGAAAAAAAATTAATACCATGCAAAGCAATATGTTGACTGTTTGGTGGGATGTTTTCTTTAGCCATGGAGATTAATAATTCACTAGCCTCTGAAAATTTCTCTGTACTCTTGTTCTGAAAATGAAAAAAAAAATGGTAAGGCACAACCAACAGATGTAAGCAGAAGGTACAAAAATGTGCTATTCAGGGTGAAAAAAGCACAGCTAGCACTTAGAATTAACTTTATAGTACAGTAATTTCCCTCCCTCGCCCCCAATTTAGCTTGATAGCCAGGGTTAATGGAGTAGCATGGAGAACAAGTTCAGTCTTTCTCATATTTTTGAACAGGAGATTGATCCAATAGAGCTAGGTAATCAGTTCTGTTTGCTTGATGCTCTGTTTTTTTCTAAAATAAATTAATTATGTAAGTTTCTGAACTGCATAATTTTTAAAACATAAGAAGAGGAGTCAGCTAACTGTATAGAAAAGAGGGATATGTATATGGGTGAGAAAAAATAGTTACCTTTTCTTGTTCTTTCTCTCTGTAAAGTCTGTAACTCTAGATATAGTGGTCTAATTTGGACTTAACAGCAAATCACAATTTATATGATCATTTGGACAGAAAGATCTGTAAGAGCCTTTAACCTGAACTATAGAAACAGAATTAAAGGAACAGTGTTCTTCGTGTTCGTTTATTTATTTTAAAATAAAATTTTACCTGCATTTCCATGTAAGGGGGATCATTTTCCAGTTTTGCTTTATCCTGTAACAATCTGGCTTTGTGGTCTTCAAGGAACTTTTCTAGGTTCTCAGCCATCATTTTTAGTTCTGGAAATGACAAGCTAACTGAAGATAGTACCTAATGGATAAATAAAAGAAACATTATTTTATTACTTTCTATTAGGTGCCTAAATTCACTCTACCAATATACAGACTGTCTTTTGAATCCCATAGTAATTTTGGGAGGGAAAACAGATTGGGGATAAATACAGTGGTACCTCGGGATACGAACTTAATCCGTTCCGTGACTCTGGTTGCAACT